CCCCCCCCGCCGCAGGGGGGTGCCCCGGGCGTCCAGGTGCACCTGCAGACGGACAGAGAGGGAAATAAATAAATAATAATACATATATCTGCATCCTGTAATCAATAAAACCCTAAATAAACATATATATAAATACATAAATAAATAAATCTGCATCATGTAGTAAATAAATGAAAAAAATAAAAAATCTGCATCCTGTAATAAATAAATAAATACAAAATAAACCTGCTTCCAGTGATAAATAAATCCCTAAATAAATAAAAAATAAATCTGCATCCTGTCATAAATAAATTCAAAAATAAATAAATAAATCTGCATCCTGTCATAAATAAATAAATATTAAATAAATCTGCATCCTGTAATAAAAAAATAAAAAAATTAAAACATAAATAAATAAATCTGCATCCTGTAGTAAATAAATCCCTAAATAAATCATAAATAAACCTGCATCCTGTAATAAATAAATAAATATATAAATAAAAAAATCTGCATCCTGTAATAAAAAAATCCCTAAACAAATAAATAATAAATAAATTTGCATCCTGTAATAAAAAAATCCCATAATAAATAAATAACAAATAAATCTGCATCTGTGTGTGTATTGAGCAGTGCTTTTCCGACTATAAATAGAGCATTTATAATATTTTAACGTACAAACAGTGACAACCAACGAGTGAATGATGTTTCTAAAAGAAACAAAAGGACTTGAAAGCATCGGTAGTAAGAAAAAAAAGCAAAAAAAAGAGCCTGAAACTCTCTCAAATTATTTTTAGAAAAATGAGTCAGTGGCTGTTTCTCATTTCTCATTTCTAAAGAAGGAAATCATCCGAAGCAGAAACCTTCTGGTCCATGGGGGGTTATGGGGGGGGGGGGACATTAGACGCTTACCATCTGAGCGATGAGCTGCGCGGCCTCGGTTGCCCCGGCGACGGGCAGCAGGGCCAGGCCCAGGTCCAGAACCACGAACCTCTGCAGGCCCGGGAACTCCTGCAGGCTGAGAGGGCCCCGCTGAACCAGCACCAGCTGCTGCAGGCCCCCCCCCGCCTGGGTTAGGGTTAGGGTTAGGGTTACAGAGGGGTCGGGGGGGGGGGGGGGAAGCCAACGCCTCCCATATCCGAGTCTGCCATTTTGATTAGGTCAAGTGAGTAGAAGCTTTCTGAGGTGGAAACGAAAGTTTACTGTCTATATGAAATCGGAAGATAAATGATGTTCTCACCCTAACCCTGACTATAACCATAACCCTAAACCTAACCCTGACCCTAACTCGACCATAACGCTAACCCTAACCCTGACCCTAAACCTAACCCTATCCCTGACCGTAAACTTAACCCTAACCCTATCACTGACCCTAACCTGACCATAACCCTAAACCTAAACTTAACCCTAATGCTGACCTTAACCCCTAAACCAAACTCTAACCCTAACCCTGACCATAACCCTAAACATATCCCTGATCCTAACGCTAAACCGAACCCTGACCCTAAACTTAATCCTAACCCAGACCATAAACTTAACCCTAACCCTAAACCAAACCCTATCCCTGACCCTAAACTTAATCCTAAACCTGACTCTAAACTTAACCCTAACCCTAAACCTGACCCTAACTCTAACCCTAAACCAAACCCTATCCCTAACCCTCACCTTAAACCTGAACGTAACCCTAACCCTGACCCTAAACCTAACCCTGACCCTAACCCTAACCCAAGGTGATGGTTAGGGTCAGGACATCGTTTGTCTTCCCTAACCCTATCCCTGACTATTTTTAAATTAACGTCTATATTGCCATGAAGCATTTACGATCTTCTTTCCTTGGATCTTGCTATCGGTGACCTAATCAAAATGGCCGACTTGGATGTGGGCGGGGCTGGACATCCCTCCCTGGCCCCCTGCAGCCAGATGTCCTGCGTTTGTGCGTACGTTACGGTATCGGACCGCCCTCCTCCGGTAGCCCCCCCCCACCACCTCGGCCTCGGACAGGAACAGGACACTGCTGCGGCCGGGCAGGAGCAGGTCGGCCACGCCCAGATCCGCCTCGAACAGGACCCGCACGTCCCCATCTGCAAAGAACACCCACATCCAAGTCGGCCATTTTGAGAAGAAGATTGGAAGAGCTTGATGCCTCATGTTGATGTTTCTGTTCCATATTAAGGTTTTACCACCAGGCTTAACCCGCCCCTCTGGCATTTGGAGATGTTTTATTTGTGTTTTGTTTTCTGTTTTTTGTAACTTTTCACACGTTTGAAATAATATAAATAATATCTATCACACTTTTGACTGTCTTTTTTTTTTAAATATACTCAGTACCTGTACTTTTACTTATACTTGAGTAGCAATTTTTTAAATACTTCTTGTTTCAATACTTTAATAAAATAAAAAAGTAGTACTTCCACTTAAGTATTGTGTTGAAAGTACACTTAAACTTTTACTCAAGTCAATTTTTTATATATATTACTTGTAATTCTACTCTACTCCTGTACTCCAGTACTTTATACATCTCTACCGGAGACCTCTTAAATTACACGGACGTCGTTTTTACTCCAGTAAAGACCCATCAAAAGTCCTTCTGGATATTCTTTATTGTCTGAATGGAGACTGCATCCGTAAGGATTTGGTATTCGTCCACAAACGAGCTGGATGGACCAGAATTAACAAACAAACAGTTCCTCACCTTTCAGGCCTTGAATAAGAGGAGAATCCCGCCATTTTTCGCTGCATATCACGTGTCCGTAAGGCGGAACAGCGTTCACTAGATCCGGACGTTTCGTTTCCATGTTGTGAAGAGCCTCATCACCTGAAAGCTGGGAGTCTGCTCACTTTTCATCACATCGACGGTTTGCTTCCCTCCTTTAACCAAAACAAACGGTTAGGACCCTTTAACTCTCCCGCTGATTCCGGAAGGTTCGGACGGTTAAAGGCTCCGTGGCGCCCTCTGCAGGACAGGCGGAAATATGACACCCTAATTTTTTTTATGGGTACCGGACGGAATTAAATGTTTGTGAGGAGTAAAAACGTGACCCTACAAGCTCTATGGAGCTTGGTGTAAAAAAATAAAATAAAAAAAGAACAAAAAATATCCAAAAACACACTTCTGATGCAGAAGGAATGGTTCTAACTAGTAGCATTCAGACTGGGGGATAGCTCAGTTTGCTTTTTTGATGCTAAAGGTAGAGATATACAAAGACGCCCACAGAAAAATTATTAGGGGAAAACTTCAGCTTTAGAAGAAAATAAACAGTCAGATATCTGCAAAGCCACAGATTGGGTCACTTGTCTGTCTCCTACATAGCTGGAAATGCTTGTTTTATTTGCTATTCCCAAAGTATTTCACTTGTACTCATCATCCAGGTCATGTTCAAGCTTGGAAAGTTCAATTAGGGAACTGGATATGACGTTTTCTAGAAGACGTTTGGCCTCTCATCCAAGAGGTTTCATCAGTTCTAAATGATTTTTTGATGTTTTAGGGGGTCTTCAGAAACATCCCTGAATAAACTGGACACAGACTTTATTAGACAAGGTATTTTATTTGTTATGCCGAGAGCTCCTCAGAATAAAATTCCCTAACCTGCCCAGGAAACCCACCTAAAACTGGGATAAATAAGACCAGCAGGGTAAAATGTTTAGTTGTTTCCCTATCGGAGCACAATGATCAAGTATGAAATGACTTTAAATTGGCAACACATTTAATCTCAAAGAATGTGCTTGTTAAAAGGGTTTTTAAATATTTTTGGTCAACCAAAAACA